GTAATTATAGTACATGCAACGTATGTACTATAAACAGCATCGCTGTGTTGGGTCGAACAAAAATATGCTTAAACTGAAACTAATATATATTTATAGTTGGTTATAACACTGTAAAAATTACTGTCATACCTGTAACTCATTTCCTATCTTATATATGTATATTTAAGTTCATTTTGTGCTAAAAATGGATACTTTCTGATTTTATTTCAGCAGATTAGCGTAGGTATTTGAATAAAGGAACAGGATTCTCTCAATATCTGGTTTTTTCGTCAGTTGGTAGATTATGCCTTCTTGGTTTGTGTTTATGTGCTCTAAATTCGACGTTCTGTTTGCGTCGTAGAATTTTTATAAGATTTCATGCTCACTATTCCAAGTGTTTGTTCTTTCTTAAGTTGTTTCGAACTGTTTGACTATTGCCCTGACATTCATGGTTAGTTCTCTCGGCAGAGCATCCGGTTACAGTCGAAAAATCGCAAGGTTTAGTGGTTGAATCACTTGCCTTTCATCCTTCCGAGGTAGATATGTGACGAACGTTATGTGGGAACAAAGTGAAAGACGGTACAGTGGACCGTACTCATTGTTTATAGTAATACTGCACTTTTGACTCACGAGAGCATAACCAAAATTAGCACATAACCATCGCCATTAGGTACGAACAATGTTACAAATACTATTCTTTATAAAAGCGTGAGATAATGGACGAACATCCTAGCGATTACAAACTTTTCATTTTTCTTCAAACCTGGTACAAAGGTAGAACCTCTTCTTGATTGTCATAAGAAGTGTTCATTATTGCGTTTGAATAATTAGTTAAGAGGACAATGATCTACCAGTGACAGGGTTAGCCTTTCATGCCAGAGTTACCTGATTTAATACCTAATGTCCCACCCTCACTCCTATGGAGTTTGTGTTAGCTCTGCAACAGGCCCTAAGACGTCGTGTTTTGTTTTGTTGGGACACTCAGCGGAAAGACCATTGGAAGAAGACGGCTAGAATATAGACGGCAATAAAACGCCGGCTCCTTTGTCAGTGTTGAACGGCACGATCGTTGATAGGTGAAGACTGGAAGCAGTCGCGATAAATTGGATGGAGCGCTAGCACATTGGTTCTCGCTGTGGGCCGTGGAAAATGTAAAACGAACGGTATGAACGAAGAGGGGGATACAACAGTTTTAGAGTGCGTTGTTGTGTGCCATAAAAGTTGTCATTCGTGAGTTTGGCTAGAGGTTATCTTTACATGGGCACACATCTACGGTATACTGAGGGCGAGATCTGCGAACCGACCAGATCCTTTTGGAGGTCTGTTATAGTTGCTATTTCCCTTGATTTGTGAATTTACCTAACAGCTCTTCATTGCGGCCAATCGAGCAGTGGATAGCCGATCGATGACCTTTGAAGAATTTCATTAGGTAGTTTGCACGTTTGTATACCCCAGTGTCAAGATGCAAAGGAAGGGAAAGTTGCTAGAGTTCTGCTAATGATTCTTTATTTCAGAGCAAGTTCTGAATTTCTGATCATTGATTTCTGTCTTATAGGCAAGTGATGACTGTGCACGAATCAAGTGTTGGGCGTGGCAGCTGCATGCTATTATGCCGGACAACATGAAGATTGTTACTCTGAAAGTGAACTCTTACAGCTGGGATTCTTCCTTCCCGAGGCGCAAGCGTTTTGATCCTTAAAGCTCGATGAATTCTCGTAGAGCTTCGCTATTAAATGTCGATAGCGCAGCAGAGGTATCTTGCTCATCTTCCTGTGGCACGCCAGAGAAATATGTTGATGAGCACTGTTCCTCTGTAGCTGCCGAGTCTTCGTCGAATGAAGTTGGAAGTTCTGAGGCCGGTGGTTTGCTGAACGTCATTTGCAGCGACTGGCAAAATTCTCTAAGGCATGAAATCAACGTGGAACTTCCTGATTCCTGTGTTTCTTCCTCCATTACTGAAAACTTTTATCAGCCTGTAGAACAAAACAACTCACAACATCCGCAGCACCAGATCAATCCGATTGCAGAATGTGTTCCTCCCGGTGATCTCACGGTGCAGATTGGAAAAGGTTTGCACTGCAGCTTCATTATCGATTCTGACCAAAGTCCGAAGCTTCTTGATGACAGGCATCAGAATATTCATTCCAGTAGCACCATCGATCGGGTTGGACTTGATGGTAAATTTATGCCCGTGTGAGCACAGTTGTTTCAGTAATTATAATTTAAATTTTAATATATGCATCATAGGCGAGCGATGATTTTCAATCTATTTATATAAATTATGTGAACAACAACGAAGTAGTTTCGTATAAAATATTAACACGGAAAAGGGAGACCAATAAATTTGAATATAATTGCGGTGTCGAAAAGAGAAAATACCCAGATAGGAAAACAAACGGCAAAAACAAACGAACGACAGATAATATGCAGAAAGGTAGAAATAGAGTCTGCGACGGAAACGGATGCCCCTTCTGATTGTGCAGTTAACAGCACTAAAATCAGTTGGCCAAACCTTTTACTCAAATCCAGTACTTCCGCAGAATTGGCAATGGTCATGACCCTGATGAAATCATAATAATGACGCATTTCCCGATTCGCTGTTAAATACTTTAAATAAATTAAACATTAAATTAAAAATGTTTTCATACATTTTATGCCTCTTCAAAATTCATGGTTAATAGCGAGGAAAACAGGAAAAATTGTATTTGACCGTGATGCAACGTTTCGACTACTCGGTTCAGTTATCTCGTAATGCATAGTGAAATATACATGTTCGGCGCATAAGTTTGTGGTCTTTTTGCTTACTTTCGGCAACAGCTTGTTTGTGAAAGGCTCTGAGAAGACCAGTGCTGATCAAGTGTATACAGCTTTATTCCCAGTACAACCGAAAACAACGACGACCCCAGTGGCTGAACAATAATACTAGTGAAAGGCGTTTGCACAAGCATCCTCTGCAAAGATATGAGGCAGTTGCAATGAAAACTCTCACGCAGCAACCACTTAAATATCAAACCCACATTCAAATTTGACAATCGTCTTAACATCCCGTTCTCAGTAACGTCTCCATCTTAATAGCATCGCATTTCCTGTCGATGATGAACAGTATGACCGGACAAGGATGCTATACAGGTGATATTTCCTGCAGTGCCTCGATGCCAATACGAAGCCGCCTCCATGAATGATGTCTTCGCCTATTTGATTCTTGTTCATCGTGAACCATGCAGCAGTCTGCTTCATCTAGTCAACTCGTCCTTGCTTAACTGACATTCCTAAACTCATCTTTTTCAGAATGATGAAACGTGGGCGTCATATGCGCTTTTATGTTTATTGCACAAATGATCGACTGCTTAGAGGTTAAATCATGCTCTATGTACATTTTTTAAATCGCCAAATATTTTGAGAATTCAGTATTTAAGGCTGATTTCATGAGTGACAGCGCACCCTCTAATAGATGATTGCCATTTATTATTCTGAAACGAATGTGAACATGGAAAATTTCGTGTTCCCATAGTTCAGCTATCCCTTTGATATTGTAGCTTTGGTATGTCAGTGTTATCGTTATTTCGGCATTGCAGAATCAGTTGCAATGTTAACTCCTGTTGTCTGGCAAGTAGTCACATAACGTTAAGAATCTTTTGATCCATTAAGAAGATATTTTGAAGCCATTGTCGGGCTGCATAGTCAGTGTTGAATAACGTTGATGTTCAATGTTGACTTTTGGGCTGTTGAGATCTGTTTGTGTTTCTCCTACCTGTTCTATCGATACAGTTGGTAGTGCAGGTAAATCGCGTAACCGAAAGTTAATTAGGTGCTTAATGAACAGCTCTGGCCCCATATATCTACGTTCATTAGCCCTTTTCACATTAAATTGACATCAGAATTTATTATACCAATGCCGGATTCGAATAACGGAAAAATTCAAGAACCTATAACGTGGTTTATACGCATTAGGTTCTTTTAAACGCACCGACCCACACACTCATCTATCGGCAGACAGCATTATTTTGCCATTGTTTTTCCTTCCTCTTTTCTTCTTTTGTTCTCTGTTTAGAAGTCACCTCCACTGATCTGCTGCGGCACCAGCATCGGCGGAGTGATCAGTTACTCAGAGCAATTGCTGCTTCGAAGTCCGATTTGAAAGGCTTGTTCGAATTCATTCAAGTCTGTGAAAACGAACTGTATGATCGTCGCGAAGATGAATTTCTCAACTGTCAGCAAATAGTTAATAATTTTTAATTTATTGTTTCTTTGATATGCTAATATGTATGTACTTATTTTCTACTAACGTTATGTTTAGTGGAATGATGAAATAATATATAAAAGTGAGCTGCATTTCAGCCGTTTCAAACAATAGAATTGACACTGATGATGTCCTTTTCTTCATTTCTTGCTGTTTCTATCCAGGGATAGAATGATTTTTTCTTCCGACTAAGCTTCTGAGTAGCTATCCACAGTTTAGAGATCATGAGAAATCGTGAATGCTGATTTATTGCACTTTCTTCTTATTAGCTTTTTCGGTAGCTTAAGTCATTTTCTTATTTCTAATCAGGCTGTTTTTCTAGACTATGCCTCAGAAATGTTTCACTGTTCATGAAAGATTTTAATGGCTAAGAAAATGTTCCGAACACACCGCTGCCCAACATGCCATTATTTATTGTGATCATTGCCTGCTACTGGTGATTTAACGTGGGAGTTGTGCTACAGTAAAATCATTGGAAGTTTGGCATCCATAGGTTAAGGTGGTTCGTCCGTACAATGCTGCAGTGATATGTTTCTTGGTTTCACCTGACAAACATCAGTTTTCAGTAGTCTTGAGTCTTGGCCACTGGTTCGACAATCACAGTATTCATGTATAACCAAATGCGTTTGTCTCGTGTTACCATTAACCATTCTTAAATTGGAAGTAATATAGCGCTTAAATTTTTTAATCACAAAATTTTACAACGTGTTGCAGCTTACTCTTGTTTCTAGTTGAGAGCGTTAATGCATTCAGCAGTTCGATGGCATTTGCAATTTGAGATAAAGTTTTATTAACCCCCTCCTGTGCACGAACCCACCTATTTGGCTGTTGACTTCAGCTGTTGTTCAGTATATAACAGATTCATACTGTTTGTTATGAACTAATATTTTCACCCATAATCATAGGCTGATATTTAATAAATTTCTTGTTTTCAGTGATTCAGTAGGTATTACTGGAAATTTTGCATTGAATATTGTCACGTTTTATTCAGGTGCATACTGATCCTGAAATTATGCATTACCTGATAATTCACGGTGAAGCATGAAGTATGGAGGGTGCCCGTTCTCAGCCAGTAAACTATGACCTACTCAGTAGGCTTCTACGATGATAATTGCTGCAGTGTGGCATTTTTTCTATGGGGATTCCGTT